TTCCAGTGTGTTTCTTTCCCTAACGTTCCATTAATCATGCTCCCACTTTTGGTTGTTGCGTATCGGTGGTGTTTGTGTTGCTTTTATTTTGGGGGGGAGTTTCTAGATTCTTTTCTCCTTATTGTCCCAAAAAAATCACATTTCACAACGTTTTTAAATGTACGTATTCTCTCAGTCATACTGCCCCTCATTTTCCGAGTCATCCCCTGACCACCTGCTCGTTCTGGACTGCTGCAGACGTGTCACCCTGGAGCCCCCTTCCTTGCTGTCCTGGATTTTACCACCCACGTCTGCCTTCTGCCCACCGCACTCACTTCTGCCAGAACCTCCTCCGGTAGCTCCCACAGCCCCCAGCCCCCCGAGGACCGGCTCATCACTGTTGCTTGGAGCGTGGGATTCTTCATTCATGATTCCCCCTTGGAACTCCGCTGTCTTAAGCGGCCAGGTTTCCCGTTGAAGAGGGTCTGCTGCAACCCAGGTCTCTGTGATTTGTAGGTGACCTGTTCTTCCTTTTCTGGAAGCTTTTAGGATCTTCTTTTTCCTTGATATTTAGAAACTTCATGAGGATGTGTATAGGTGAGCAAGGTTTTTATATACCTTGCTCAGTTTTTTCTTCCCTCCAGTTCTGGAATAATCTGGCTCCTCTGTTCCCTCTTCCTTCAGTCATATTAGTTGGGACCTCCTGGACTGATTTCTACTGTGTTTTCTCTAATGTCTTAATTTTCTTCAAAAACTTTCTGGAGGATTCTCAAAATATGTTCCACCCTTTTCTTTTTAATTTTGGGTGTTAAATTTTTATTTTGGGTGTTACTGTTCATTTCTGAGAGCTCTTGTTTTCTGATTTAGTTTTTCTCATAGCATCTGTTGTTTTAGGACTACGGTATCTTTTCAGATCTCTAGAGATACCAGAGACTTCCCTGGTTATCTGACTACATTCCTGAAAACATTAGAATAGAGGATTTTCGGATAACAGAATTTATTTTTTATTAGATAAGAAAAGCTCAGTAAAACACTCTTAAACACCAATATAATAATCCACCAAGAATTTCGGAGAGCTATGAAGCATTTAACATACTACCAGTTACTTACCTAACATTTAAATTAGGTCCTCAGTGCATATGTTGGAGCAGTACCATGATACTGCATCTTCCTTCTACACCACAAGGAACGTGTACTGTTGAAATAGTTTGTTATGGATATAAAAACTCATCATAAACGCTAAACAAATAAGCAAACATGGCAGTTTTCTCAGTGGCTGCCTGCAGAGTGAGTTGGGCCCGGTGGGAGGAGGAGACAGGTGCGGTGGTGGCTCCTGCTGGCTGGCGGTGGTGGCGGTGTGTGCGTGCTGGTGAGCCTTTTGAGGGCCGGCTGAGTTCCAACCGTGCTGACGCTGCGCCCACCCCCCTTACATTTTGTACAACTTCAGTGCACATATCTTTAGCGGAAGAATTCCATTTTGACAGTATTTTGGATAAAATTATTTGCAGTCTTTTAGCAAATATTTGGGTAGTGAATCCAGTAGTTAGGGACATCCTGTAACTAAATAAAAAAAATAAAACTAGTGTTCTTTGAGTTGCTCCCTCCAGGACAAGAGACTCTCTTCCTCTAGTCTCCTTCCTGCTGCGTGTTTCCCCCATGTCTGGGGCTCCTCAGTTGCCTGCCGGCATTTAAGAAGGTGGGCCTGGGTGACTGTTCCGCAGTCTGCCGTGTGGATTTGCCATGGCTGCTGCTGCATATGCATAGCTTTTCTGCCCCAGGCCGCCCTCTGAATTGGTGGTGTGTGTATAGGGCAGCAGGACTTTGCTCCAGAGCAGTGGGCAAGCCAGTCCGTGGGCTCCTCGGGGATCCCCTGGATGCCAGCACCCACACTGGCAGCCTCCTCTCCAAGCAGGTCTGTCTGTGTAGAGCACCCTCTGGTCTTCCTTACAGAAAGCTTTGTCCTGCTCTGCATGTGGGTGAGACCAAGGTTCATCTTCTCAGTGCTGCTGGCCATACCTGCAGGCTGGAGGGCTCAGAGCAGCACGGCAGGCTCCCACCTGCAGGCAGTCCCGCCCGTTGTGCACATACCCTGAACCTTCACTCTTCTACAAGTCAACAGGCTCCCGCCCTGTGTGTGTTGAAATTGCCCCTCACTGTTGGCAGCCGCTCCCTCTTCCCGTCCGCTAAGCAGGGGAGAAGCACCCACATTCACGGGTCGAGATTTCCATAGAGCTTTGCAAATCTAATGTTATCATTTACTTTGTCCCGTGGTGGTATTTATAACTCAGAAAGCCATTTTTAGACAGTGGCCACTATTTCCATTATGGAGGTATTTTCAAAGTCTTTAGCACATAAGAAAAACTATAATCAGATTTTGAAATAAAAATCCCATTGCAGATACTTTTTTAAGATCAGCTTTAATGTTTTGGTATTCCTTTCTTTTTGTTTAAACAGATGATGCTGGAGGGTCTTGAAATCTTTAAGACCAATAAAACCTGCAACTTGAAAACCAGCCTTCTGTAACCACAGTGCCATCCCAAACGATGAGGAATGTTAGAGAACTCCACACAGGACCTCTTGATCTGAACCGTTAAATACCCCAAAAGAACCATGCGGGTGTGTGGCCCTCAGAGGCTGGGTGAGGGAGTTAGGCGTTGTGTTGAACTGCTTGGGAGGTGACGCATACACACGGCAGGTGTCCTTTGTGAGGACTGATACACAGCTACCTCAGGGACCAAATCAATGGGCAGGGACATACCTGGTATTCCCGACTCCCATTTGATATGCCCTCTGTCAGGTGGTTTTTTTCTCTAATAAAAGGGGGAAAGTAAAGACTATCCAAGCAACAGTAGTTGCCAAAGAGAAAATAAGACACTAGACACTTAAATTTTATAATTTTTGTGGAAACATCCGTTAGTGTAGAAAAAAAAGTTAGAAGTGTGTTTGTTACATTGTTAAATAGTAAAGAAGGAATGGAAACTGGAGGCACTGAGTCCGCCAGTGAGAGCGGTATGTTTTAAGAATGACTTGACCTGTAGGCTTCTTTGGAGTTGTGTAATTTCAGTTAGTACTTGGTCTCTAAAGAATGGCAGGTCTAACTGTTACTAAGAAGTGAAGTCTCCAGGAGCCAGAGGGCCTTTTCAGAAGCACAGGTCAGTGTCCAAGTGTGTCACGCGATGGATAACTGAGAAACTATAAGTGGAGCACAAGACCAAGTTCTAAACTTTTAGTTAAATTCCAAGCTTTCCAAGCCTTTTTTCTATGGGTTAAGGTCCCACGTTTCTGTTTTTCTCTCTTAAAATCCTCTCCCCACAGCCCATATTACAGGATTTGCACAGTGAAGTAGGCAAACCTTGCCAAGGGTCTGTAACACTTTAGACGTTGTCAGGGTTCGCACAGGGCAGATGGCGTGCTGAGCTGCGTGCTCGTGCCCAGGGAGTTGCTCTGTGGCCCTGGCGCTGTCCCTGCTTGGTCTCCGTGTCAAGGCTGCCTGTCTTGTAGCTCCCCACGGGTTTAGGGAAAGTGAAGCATGAAGTTGGGATGTGTAGGGAATGAGAGACAAGTCAGAGAGTTGCTTAAGACCTTTTTTGTTTTTTTTCTTTTTGAAGCATGGAAAACAATCTTTTATGTTATTCTGGTCAGAAATAAAATTTTATCTTCAATTCCGTTGGCTCAACTTTTCTTTAGTTATGACAAGGTATGGTATCATGTATTTAAGGAGAATTTTTACCGTGAGTTGCCACTCAGTTGTGAAACTGATTACTTGAATGTGTTTATTAAACTTTTTGAAAAGCAGACTAAGTTGGCTTTTTAAAAAAAAGACACATTTATAAAGTGCAATCCGGGCAAGAGATGTGAATTTGAAAGTTGGTCATACATAGGGTGTAGCAATATTGCAAGCATGGAATATGATGTGAAACAGGATATGAAACTGGAAAAGTAAAGTAGAGCCAGTTCAAGACGAGCTCTGAGTGCCATATGCTGAAGAATCGGAGGCCTTCTTGTTGTAATGAGTGAACATATCTAGTCAGTTCTGCTGTGATTCTTATTTTAAAATGCAGATTTATTCCAACAAGATTGATATGTTAGAAAGAAACAATCTGAGCATAACTCGTTCACTTACTTATAATTTTGCCTCTGAGAAACACTGAGTCAGGGAGTGACTAAGTATGGATTTGTTTGCTGCCTCAAGCTGGAAGTTTTTACATTTTTAAATGGTTATATTTTAAATAATAATTATACAGACACCTACACAATAGCCTCCTTGCTTCCTCATCGAAGGCTGAAATACGTACGACCCTCTGGCCCTTAAAGAAGTTTGCTGGACCTGCTCTAGGTGGAAGCGGGAGACTGCAGCCGGCTGCACGGAGCTGCGGGGGATACACCGCCCAGCCCTCCAGCTCCCTCAGACGAGCCTTCCCCAACTTGACCTCAGCAGCAAGCTTCACCCGATGGGTTGCCCATCTCACAAGCCAACGTCTGAGTGTTTTTGAGATGAAGTGCCATATATGCTCTAGTATTTGTGAATTTCTTAACTACTTAGTGTGTATAAAACCAGCTATTTATTAAGTTCCTGTCTTTTTTTTTTTTGGACCCCATGTTTCCCATCAGCCGGCGGTTTTCATTGTGTACTTTTCCATGGTGCCGGGGTTTCCAGGAATGTGGGTGTACTGCGTTAGAACAAAACAGTGGTCCTACTCAAGGATCACCGGCGATCCACGAGTCCAAGTTACGAGACAGAACAGCCCAGGCTGAGAAAAGGGTCTACACTGAGCTCCGTGTCACCGAAGGGACATTTCAATGTAAAGTTGATGCCTTTCAAGGCAGAAGGTGGCGGTGATTTAGATGGTATTACCAGCACTGAAAAAAGGAACAAAGGACTAGTGGCTTCTGCTGTCTCAAGTTCTTAGAGACTAGCTGATGGAGCAGAGGAAAGCAAGTTTCACCTGAAAGAATGAATGTTGTTCAAAAGCGATTCCATTACTTCAGGAGGCCACTCCTTGATTAATAAATTAGCACTTGGGCCCAAAGCAGCCTTAAATACAAGACCACCAGCTCCTTAGAATTTTTTAATTCCATTTTTAAATGGAAATGAAGCACTATTGAAAACTCTGCAACTTTCTTTCCCACCCCTAATAATGTACAGTGGGCCTTCTGTTTCCATGGGTTCTACATCTGTGGATTCAATCAACCTTGGATTGAAAATAGGAAAGGGGGGCTTCCCTGGTGGCGCAGTGGTTGAGAGTCCGCCTGCCGATGCAGGGGACACGGGTTCGTGCCCCGGTCCGGGAAGATCCCACATGCCGTGGAGCGGCTGGGCCCGTGAGCCATGGCCGCTGAGCCTGCGCGTCCGGAGCCTGTGCTCTGCAGCGGGAGAGGCAGCAACAGGGAGAGGCCCGCGTACCGCAAAACAAAAACAAAAAAAAACAACAAAAAAAGAAAATAGGAAAGGGACTTCCCTGGTGGTCCAGTGGTTGGTTAGGACTCCGTGCTTCCACTGCAGGGGGCACGGGTTCTATCCCTGGTTGGGGGAATAAGATCCTGCAAGCCGCCTGGTGCAGCCAAAAAAAAAAAAAAAAAAAAGTCGGGGGAAAAAGGATGCCAAAAAGCAATACTTGAATTTGCCGCATACAGGCAACTATTTACGTGGCACTTACATTGTATTAGGCATTATAAATAATGTAGAGATGATTTAAAGTATTGTATTAGGCATTATAAATAATGTAGAGATGATTTAAAGTATATGACAGGTTGTGCATAGGTTATATGCAAATATTATACCAGTTTAAACAAGGGACTTGAGCGTGCTTGGATTTTGGCATGCGTGATGCCCACAGATAATAAGGACGACTGTTTACGTGGAGAAGTCAGTTGTTACTTGAGAAAACCTGTGTTCTTCAATGTCTCCTTAACAGAAATTATATTCAGAAAAATTTAAATTGCATTGAAGGAGACATAATTTAATTTCACCTTAAAGTTTTGTTTCTAAAACTGTAGATGGTAGACATTTGAAATTAGACTTTTTTATTGGCATTTTCAATACTGACTTCAGTTCCTCTGAAATAATTTTCCATAAAACACAGGTTTAACACCTTAGAAACTAAGAGTTCCCCTTAAAGATTACTTAAACATACAAGGCGAGATCAGAGTAAAGATGATGCCGGATTTGAAAACTTTCTAACTGGCTTTCAAAATGGAAGTTAAAACTATGGTTGTTTTTTAAAACTCAATTCAGAGCTAACTCTCTCAAGAAATACTACCTGCTAGAATGGGGCCTGAGCACTCCTTAATGGAAGTGAGCTACAGCATCTTTGCCTGGTAGCAATTAAGCTTTTCCATAAGTGGCACACAGGCTGTCTAGCTTTTGCTCCAGAAGTCTTACTCAAGAGTGCTGTGGGGTTGAAGAGCAGAGTGAGAACAGTGACTAGCCTGGCCGCTGCGTGACTCTGCTCTTACAGCACAGGGGCATTCTGCATCCTAACGGACCTCCTGCTGCTTTCTCTGTCTTCAGTATCTGGATACTGAGACAGATCTAGGGTCAAAACTCGGCTGAACATGCAGTCATCATGCTGAAATGGAGAGAAGACAGTTAAAAGTCAGTTCCTTTACTTAGGGAATAAGTGCTATTAAATGTAAAATAAGAGCCATTAGTAAGTCTACATTTGCATTTAAAAAGGAACCTCCTTATAGCCACCTAAAAAGGTATTACTTCTCTGCATTTACATCAGCTTTATTTTTTTTTTTGTATTAATCTGGTAAAGGGTACCAGAATATGCCACCCGAAAATATGCCTCTTTTGCATATGGATTGTTTTGAGCCAGAGGCTACTGAAAACCAGCGGATGTAGGAAAAGCTCCAAAAACCAGGCACAGGTTTTCCTTTTGCAGAGGAAGTTTACATTTATGTAAAAGATGACACCCTTTCCACTCTTAACTCTTTTATCAGTGGAGAAGGCACCTCCACCTGCAGAGCAAATCTGACTGAACAGCCCCTGTTCACTGTACTTCTGGTCACCTTCCCATCACTTGCCTCCCCTGCCCAGAAGCCCCAAGACTTTTCCTTATTTTAGCCTAGGATGGTATATAAGTCCAAGTTCTAGCCACCCCTTTGAGTTACTCATTGCTGGGTGTACCCATGTGTGCACACATGATGCACATATCAATAACCTGTTTTTCTCTTGTTAATCTATCTATTGCTGGTCTAATTTACAGGGCCCCAGCCAGAGAACCTGAGTTGGGTAGGAAAAGGTTTTATCCCTCTCCTACTCTGGTAACGAGAACTTCCATTTCTCTCTGGCAGCGTATTTCCAGTGATCCCCTAACGTTAATTAGGCACAGGAAGGGAAATTAATTTTTATCTTAGCTTAAAGGAAAACACAGGAAGCAAAGCCTAACTGTCCAAGAACTGAATGATTTGAATGAGTTGCCCTGCTCCATTAGCTCAGGTAAGTATTTTCGGTGGCTCAAGAAAGGTGTGTTTGAATTCTAGAAGTTACTATACAACTTGGAACTTGTCAATTTCTTCGTTTTTTTTTTTTTTTTTTTCCTTTGTTAGTTTTGGAAGATAAATAGTTCCTTGTTCTACCACAATGCATTTTTTTTTTTGCCTACAACATTCAAACATTACAGAAATATGAAACACAATATCGACAATTTATTCTAAGTTAATATGTACTATTATTTTATAAACAATTATCATACTGTTCTGCAATTTTCGATTTTCTTTTTCACTTAAAATATATCTTAAATTTCTGTGTACTGCCATGGAAAAATATCTGAGTAGTTACTGTTAAGTCTTATTTGATTAAAAAATCATTTAAGCCTATATTTATAAAC